CCATGGTTGGGCTGCCTCAGAAATTCATTTAGAAGTTCAATCATATGCATATAAAGGGGCAGGCATGTCTAGGGACTCAAACCATGGTTGGGCTGCCTCAAAAATTCATTTAGAAGTTCAATCATAAGCATTTAGGCACTCAACATCATAGGGGTGGCAAAGACATATTCCAAATTGAGCACAGTAAGCCTCCAAACCTATAGGGGTGGCATTACAGTGAAGCAATTCTCCCATAATTCAGAAAGACTAAGGTTTGCATCATTAGTTTGCCCAAAAAAATATGCAATGAAGTCAAGAAACAAGAAATTTTACTTTACGAAGACAACACTGCATAAACAACAGGGGCTTTAACCCTTCGTAATTTTTCCCCAAAATCAGAGCATGAAGGGTTTACAGAAACAGAGGCAATACAAAATTCATAAAGAACAGAGGATTGAAGCACTTTACTCTGTTCAAATTGCATGAGCTTCATTGGACTTCCAACGGGTTTGGCAAAGAAAATTTCCGTATCAGAGGTCATTCCTCCAATCTCTTCGGTGGTGAATGAATCAACCTCTGAATCCCCTTCGTCTAGATCTGAATTCCACTCAACACCGTCCGGAAGATGATCACCCCCAAGGTATTTCTTCCGGTAGTTCCAAGACGGATCGGTGTCAGAAGAATCAGATGCATCAGGGTTGTATCCTGGAAAACATACCCTCTTGTGCTTAGGAGGTCGAACATCTTCATCGCTTTCACTTAGAAGGCGAAAGGAAGGCATATCCCAGTCCAGATCTGGAGAAGGAGGGGATGAGGTCATGGAAAATTTGATCGGCGTAGGTGAGGATAGGGTTTAGGGAAGAGAGAGAGACGATATGTGTCAGTAAAGGGCTGGGTATGGGTGGGATGGTAGTCTTTTAGGGCTGGGGGTATTTTGGGAAAAAAGTGTGGAATGGAAGTGTTTTGTGGAAAACAAAAAAATCGAAAGAGGAAGTGTTTAATGGAACGGAGGGAGTATAAAGTAAATTGACAATTTTTTTCTCCTATTTCTATGAAGAAGAAGAGAAAATAACAAACTCATCACTCTTCACGCTAAACGCAACCCTTAAGATTGTGCTTATCAAAACTGATTTAAATGCTTCAAGCGTGCTCGTCGTATAATTTGATTATATGGTCATGCAATAGAGTTAATAGTACTCGAAAAAACTAAAACCTAATTATAATTCGAAACGAAAAGTGTTGAACTAAAGTTAAAGCTACCGAATTGGATTGGAAATAACTTCAAAAGAAGATGCCCCTAGTGGTATAAAGTGATTTATTCAAGCAAATACATGATATACAATTGATTGGTAGCTCATTCTATTTCACCATACATCTTTCACTATACAAGAATGTCTACATCTCACCTGACCTAAAGAATACACAACAAATTAACCTCATGCTTCAATAATGAAGAGAAAGTCCATGTTCTGCAAGCATGAAGTGCTCTTAAAGTCCTGTTTGGAATGCTGGAAGCGAATCGTGTGTGTTGAGAGTTGTGTGTAAAAAGGATATGCTTAGTTGGAGCAGCTGAAGCCATGGCAAACAGATAGCCAGATTACCAGCACCAAAAAGATTATGATTCCGAGAACAACCAACTTTATTTTCATGTTCTGATACCACATCTTGCGACGGATTTCAGTCCCCTGTTTCTTGAATTGTTTGGCCTGAAAATTTTCGCGTGCAAAGGAGAGTTTTACTACCCTCATCACATCTTGCCAGTGATTGTTTTGTTAGTAATATCAAATGTTCTGAAACCATACCGAGTTGTGTAGATCTTCTGCCTTGTTGGTAAGTACTGTTAAGTTCTCCCCCCTTTCAATAGTCTGCAACACACGAAAATGTCAAGCGAATAATAAAAGCCGAATACAGTCGCAACTCTGTTTTGGACTAGAGGGTCAAGATACACGCAACCAGCCTTAAGTTTGTAAAAGACATTAAGAGAGGCCGTTTCTGTTGGACCCTGAAAGCATTGCTGCATTTACTAATAAAAACTTTATAGAAGGTAAGAAACAAATGAAGTTTAACATGTCATTTACATATTGTCCATTATTTACTGGAAGCTAATGTGTGGTCAATAGTGACTCTTTTAGCCATTGGTAATGACCGGAAAGCAAAAAAAGCTATTCATATTTACATCTCTAATTATTGTGAAACAAAAATACAATATCTGTATGATTAGAACCCTGGAATTTTGGGAGATTGATTGAATGTCAAATCAAATGCACGCAATGCGCCACTTCTGGTAACAAAGTTGAATTATGATTGTCAAACAATGCAACATATTGATAAAAGAAAAACTAAGTCAGCCTTGTGACTTTGCCATACAGGTTAAATTAAAGATATGGGTAGCCCAGTGCAGTACCGAACACATGAGATGACGAGATGAAACTGGAGAATATGATTTCTAGGGACTAGGGAGGATTATAGCCGAGAAACCTAAGTTACATAAGCGAGGAGAAGTTCCTTCACCATACCTTGTCTATATTCTCGAGCATAATGCTTTTAACTTCTGAGACTTGAGCCTTAACCTTAAGTAGTTTCTCAATTTTATCAGCATTGTCAATTATGTATTTCATGTGCTCCTTCATAACTGGTCTGTAGATTGGGACATGTTTCTTCAAGTTATTGATTTTCCATGTTTGACTACTCCAATGCAAGCAAAAGAAGGGGAAAACGAAAGTATAAAGAAAGGTATGCTGACAAGAATGACTGCTTGTGTCCAAAGAACATACCCAAATTCCTTATTCAAACTCTTTGCAGTGGCAGTATCTGCTTTGCCACCACCATATCTTTTCTTAAAATCCGCTTTTACACGTTCCAAAAACGCAATTGATATCTGTTTGCCAACAGATTCTTTGGCCACAACACAATAAGCTGACATGTAAAAAGCATCTCATCAACAACCCACATGATATTATTTCGATACTCACTCATTCATACCGGGAAATTTATTGAAGGGAATTTGCAATTCAGAGATGATGAATCTTTTACACTTTCTTTGGAGGACTATGGCACGGAGAGAATTCATTGTCACTACGCTTTTAGTATAAATTTAGTGTCATTGAACACCGTATATTTGATGGGATCGACCCGAACAAGTTGGGTTCAAGGTGCAGATAATGAAGATAATGATGTAAAATCAAGATAACAATAAGATTTTTAGATCTTTTAGCCTTTCCACACAACAAAAGTCTATTATTGCCTATGTCGGGTAAAAAAGTTTCACATTTCTTTTTGGCTTGTCCAAAACAAGGTTTCACATTCCTTCAAAAGAAACAATTATATGCTTCATTTTATTCCCTTCCCTATCTCAACAACTTAATCAAATGTGAAGCCTAATTCTAGAATGGACGGAGGGACGACTATGAACCTAATCTGTAAAAAGTTTGAAAGTCATAGAGATTAAAATCTAAAAAAAGGAGATCCTGGACTGAATGTATATCCAAAGAGGAATAAAAACTAAGCACAACCTTTAGCAGATACAATTAAGCAATGCACATACAATTTGCAGAACATTTAGCACCAACAAAGCATAAAAACACAGTTTTAGCTATGAGATCCTAGATCCAACGGCTGGAAATATAAAAGTAATTGAACCAATAAACAGAATCGAGAGAAATTTAATTTAAAAAAAAAATACCGTAACCATCTTGAACGAGGAAGTTAAAAGTGTGGTGATCGCAGTTGAAAGTGAACTTATTGTTGGAAGACGGAAGCTTCTGCAGGCAGCGGGCGGCGATCGCCGGGAAGTTGCCGGTGAACTCCGTGTACTCCGACAAGACCATAGTTCCCCGAGCTACAAAGCTGTATATGAACGATTCTTGACCCATCTACCACCGCCGCCAACAGCAGATCGATTTACCAGGGTTTGACGACGAAGACCATGTCATTGAGTGCTCCGCATTATTACTGTGTTAAAAATGGCGATCGATCCGAGAGATGTTTTACTCGGGGACGAAGGCACGTACAAATGTCTATCTTTTTTTTTAGAGAACTTACAAGGCACGTAAACGGCGCCGTTCCTTTCGAAATTACTATTTCAAGTCGGTTCTATTTTCATTTTTGAGTTGCCGGAGCTCAATTTATTACTCCAGATGATCTTCCTGGTTCGCAAAACGAAGAAAAATTTCAAGTTTTTTCAATCTATTTTATTTAAATATTGGTATAGAAATAAAAAATAAAATATACATATTTAAAAACTACATCAAAAGTTCAACAAAACACAAATAAATATAAATTCTCGTGAAGTTGGAATAGTGCTCTGGGAAGATCATTATAGGACGGAGGGAGTAGCTTAATATGATTTTTTTGAGTGAAATAGAACAAGCATTAAACATCAATTACCTTTTATTTGTATTGCATATTAAACGCATTGAAATAAAATTTAGAAAATCCTAGCAAGAAAAATTTAATTACTCCTTCCGTTCTAGAATATTTATCCACTTTCATTTTTACACACAATCCAATGCATTTCTTTAATCCATTTTATTTTGTAATTTGTATATTAAAAAATTATAGAAATTATATATATTACGAGTAATAATCTATATGTTAAGACAAATCAAACAAGATCACACATGACTATATTTAGGCTTACACATTGAGAGAATTTGATGAGTCAAAGTGCTTAGATGAATAGTTTCAAAAGTCAAATATGGACAAAAACTGGGGGACGGATGGAGTAAATCATTTTATAATAATATAGTACATTAAAGCTTTTGTTTAATTGAAACCCAAAAGTCGTCTAATTTAATCGAAATAGTTCTACTGGACGAATACAATGATTAGGATCTCCACATTTGATACATAATTAAATTAAAATCATCCTAGTTAAATCAAAATAATTCTACTGGACGATAAATAATCGTCTAGTTTTATACTCCCTCTATTCTAGAGTTTTTTTTATAATTTTAACTCTTTATGACTAATAATTAGGAGCTCCACATTTGATACATAGTTAAATTTAAAAACATCCTAGTTAAATTTAAAATCATCCTAGTTTTATATTCCCTCTATTCTAGAGTTTTTTTTATAATTTTAACTCTTTGTAACTAATAATTAGGAGCTCCACATATTTGATACATAGTTAAATTAAAAACCACATAACATAAATTAGGAAAACAATATTTCAAAAAAAGTACAAGATGAATACTACTAGTATAAGATTATTGGCCAAATTGAATTAATGGTCTCTCAAATCACTACGATATGCAAGGCTAGTCCTTTATCTCCAGATATTTAATGAAATTTTTTTTCAAGTCACATTAGGATGGCATGATTGGGTCTTCTGTTAGTTTTTCATTGCCTTGCAGTTTTTCGAGCTTCCATTAGAAATAATGTGAAGAGTCATATCTTTTTCATACAATTGAGTCATATTTTATATGAATCCATTTTAAGACAACGTGAGTACTTAAAAAAAAAGACAAACTAAAGACAGTGAGTTTTTAAAGAAAAAATTAGACTATTAAAATAATTTATTATTATTAAAAAATAGATTTATACTCCGTGTAAAATTAAATATGATTCAATGGTACGAAGAATAAAGGATTCCTCACATTTATTTATAATAGAAAATAGAAAAAAACATGAACTAATGAAAAAATTAATAGAAGGACCAATTGTGCAATGCTGACGTGACTTGAGTGACTGTGTATAGAACTTTCAGAGTTGAATGAGTAACTAACCGTACGTAATGTAACGGCTTGAAATAACTAATGGTGCATCGTAGAAAATAACTTCAATCAAACCTCGTAAGTCAAAGTGGGAAGAAAATTTGAAGACTATTACAATATATATTTCATGGACTCAAACACACCACATGATAACATTAAATAAGCACAAATTAAAACTTGAGCAAACACAAATGCATCCAAGCTAATGACTTGGCACTAAATGGCACATACATTACACATAATAGCACTAAAGAAGAAAACAACAACAACAACAATTAAATTACCCACAAAGAAAGACACATAATTAATTAACATAAAGCCCTTGTATCGGGGGGTCTGACGGTCACCGAGAGAAGGAGCTAGCTAACAATTGAGGGGGAGGGGGAGGTTGCACTTGGGCGGGAGGGCCATGGCGAGGTCGGGATCGATCCCGAGGAGCGACAGCATCACGGCGTCATTCCTCTTCTGCAGGCACAGGCACGGCAGGTCCGCCGCGGAGAGGGCGGCGCAGCAGGCGGCGGACGGCGGCTCGGCCGGACCGGGCGGAGTCACCCAGGGCTTGCAGGCGTTGAGGCCGTCGTCGGTCATGCTGCAGATGCTGTAGCTTTCTGCTCCTCGCTGCTGCAGGGACATCATCATTACCATTATTGTAGCGACGAGGAGGGGAATAAATCCCGCCATTGCTGATTTCTCCTTTCCATAAATTGACATTTTATTTATTTATATTTTTTTAAAAAAAAGGTTTATATATGGGATTTAATTATTATATGATCAAATGAGAGTACGCTCCTCTTTGAATTTATAGGATGACAAAATATGGGCGGGCGGGCGGGGGAGGGACAAAACAGAGAATAGTGGAGGAAAAGCAAGTACTACCTTCGTTCCAGAAGTACATATTATCCAGTTTGACTCGAAAAAGTCAAAAAATTGATATTTGAAAACTACATTTCAATAGACATTTATATTAAATTTATATCAAAACACAATGTATATTTTTTCACATATCAAAGTAAAAGTTTACAAATAAATTTTGACTAAAAAAAGTCAAAAGAGAAAAATATTTTTGTACAAAAAAATAAATGAAAAGATTCATTCTATATTTACTTATTACTCATTCTATATTTTTTGGTATATCCTTAATATTTTTTAAAAAAAGAATTGGAACATTTGGAAGATATGAAATTGTTAAGCAAATGGTTGGGAGTCCGTGAAGAGATGATTGTGGCAAGTAGATAGATATAGAGGTCACGGGTGGCGTTTGGACGCTTGGCTCTTGTTGAGTGGGTTTTAAAGCTGTGGTTTTGTTTTCTTCTTTCCTCCCATTCCCATTTTTTATACACTTTATATCTCTTAAAAGATTGTCACAGTTTGATTTTTTTGTCAAATTATGTTACTCTATGACCGTGAATTAGATATAATTTAAAATATTTAAATATTATAAAAATTAAATATTCTAACTGTATTTTAAAATAAATCAAATTTTACTGAATTTACATTATGAGTAAGTATATTTTTTTCGTAATTCGCGGTTAAAGGATGCAACAGTTTGACCAAAAAAATTAAATTGTGGTAAATATTTTACGGTCGGGGAGAGATTTTAATGCCGTACCCTTGTGTCCGTCATAAAGGGTGCCAAAAAGATACTTCTTCCGTCTCGGAATTATCTTCCGACTTTGACTAGACATAATTTTTAATCAAGTGAAATGTTGGTGGTTGTGATTTGTGTAGAGAAAATAGAATTCATATACACCACGTATTTGTTTCCTTAAAAGGAAAGAAGAAGAAAATTTTGAAGAAGCCATGTGTATGTATAAGTGTTTTTTGAGATCTTTAAAAAGTTGGGGCAAAATAGTTGTTTGAGTTGCACAAATAAAAATTTTGTATATTTTGTGACATCTAAATGTAATAGAACTTTCGCATTTCTCAAATATTTATGGAGTATTTTATTTGCATACTTTATTACTCTCACCGTCCCAAATCAAATTTCCTATTCACCATTCATATGGTCAAATTTCAATCACTTTGCTTTCTTATTTTTGTTAGTCATTAGATTAAATAATATAGTCATATCACCACTAATTTTGTAGATTTTTTGATGTATTTTAAAATATGTAATTTTGTTTTTTTTAATCTACACCATTTTTCATATAAAATAATTTGAAAATAACTTCAATCGAACATCATAAACCGAAACAGACAATTTAAATCGAAATAAGGGGAATATTTTATTTTTCAACTCTTACTCCCATCATTCTATAATTATTTAATTACTTTCCTACATGGGTCGTCCCAAAATTTACCTTCTCTTTGAGGAAAAAACCGGGTGGTTATTACTCCATATCATGTTTTCTCTTTTCATTTAAACATAATAATTTTCAAATTTTCAAATTAATATAATAAATGATGGAAAAAGATAATTGCAAAAGTTACCACAGAAAAGAAATGAAAAATTTTCCTCTTTTTTTTATGTATTTCTATAAAAACATTGAGTGCTTTTTAAGTATTTCCCTTTTTTTATGTTTGAAATGCACACCGATCTAGTTCTTTTTTTTTGGGGGGGAAACAGAATGGAGGGGAAAAGAACCCCAAGACCTCAAGAGAGGTTCCTCGCCGCCGACGTACCTCTCAAAGTCTCTCCAATTCATTGCTGGGTTGCTCCCCCTCCTAGCGATAATATCCTCTACTCTGTTCTGGTCTCTGAACACACAAGAAACAGGGCCATCCCAATCCTTATCCTCAATGCGCAGGTCCTCGTGTAATCGTTTGTCCCGGGATCCATTTGACAATCTCCTGGGAATCACTCACTCTAAACAAGTTTATGTAGGCCTTTACCCTATGCCCATATTAGTCCTATAAGTACTGCCCAGACTTGAGTGCATAGTATTACACGAGAGCACATAAACCAAATCCCATCAGAGTCTCTCAGTACAAAGTATTAAAAAAAATTAAAAACTGCTAGAGAAACAAACATGGCACATTCATAACCAAGCTGTTGAAATACTAGAACAAAAAACATATGTTTGCTTGCACAAACTTTACATAAATAAATACAGCTCATTAGTGTGTTTATGTGTTTGGCTTGGTATGAAAAAACAAACCAACTAAACAAGACTAACATGTAAACTGCAAGAATACTAGGTAACACAAGGCACGAATAGAGACTCGGTATTTCATGAACCGATAAAAAAACACGAAAAAAGAAGAGAAGAATTAGAACATATAAAACTGGTTTTCTTATAAGGATATGTACATTTAATTGAAATCATAAAAAAAGTAATCAAAATCAAAAGGGATCCCAAGAATTACTAACTTAGGTCGCGCGACGTATGTCCTTGCCATCTGCACTCAAAAATGTGAGGTGATGTCAGATGTATTTGCATTGTGTTTATTGACAAGGTTTTGCAGCTAATTGAAAGTCAGATATAAAATTGTCAAAACTTTTCAACATGTTCACAAGGGTTCTTGCAAATAAGAATGGAATCGGAAATAACTTGACGAACCTTGACAGTAAAAACTTTGCAAGAGAGCTCAGATTGGGATTTGATTCGGGTTCCTTGCTTTGCTGATTTTTCTTGTTATCACTACTTTCTGTGCTTGAACTCTCAGCTTCTGGCCTGCCCTTCGTAAGGATGCGGGCGGCCAGTTCTTGCAGATCTTTTAAAGAGGGTTCCTTCGAGCTGGCAATGGATGTGCAATACACATGGAATACCTTTTTTTATAATAGAAACATGAAATTATTAGGAAAAACCAACCAACCAACCTTGCCAAACGCTGAAGTAACCTTGTTACAAAGAGATCACAAGACCCTGGCTTTAGGCGCTCAATCTCCATAAAAGAGCTTGTCATTGTATGTGCAAACGATCCATCTACATCCCCAGCAACAGCCTGAATATAACAATATACAACCAAATGCAACATTTGAGCTGTAAATCATCAACGCTATGTTTGGTCAAGAAAATTGAAAGGGAAAAGAGAGGAAAATGAGTGAGAGAGAGAGAGAACAACTTTTCTTGTTTGGTTAGAGAGGAAAATAAAAGAAAATGGATGGAAAAAAATGGGAGAAGAAAATGCACTAATGTGAAGAAAAATAATTTTCCTTTAGTTTTGGTGAAGAAAAGGAGACAAACCCTCTTTTCTTTTCCTTTCTATTCCACGAACCAAACATAGTGTAAGTACAAGACACTAACATAATGGAAGGGGGTGAACACACATGGTTTATACTCCTCTGTCCCATAAAAAGACTTGTTTCTAAAATTATTCTTGTCCCAAAAAAAGTCCATTTTGAACAAAAGAAGCTACTTTTCATCAAATAAATAATTTTCAGAAAAATGAAGTGTTTCAAAACAAAATGATTGTTAAATTTAGTTAAACAAATACATTTTAGAGTTTAGTTATATTTGATGATTTCCAATTGTACCTTATAAAAATAGTTGAGAAGTGTGACTCGTTGAGAAAGTATTTTATATATACATACCTCCTTTAGAGAAGGTACAAGAAGAGTAGATAGTGTAGCAGAAGATTGTGTGGCGGGAATCCTAACGGCATCATCTACATCACTAGTATGGTGAGATCTTGAGAATGCTTTCTGTGCATCAAAGTAGTCACGAGAATATCTGTAATAAAAATCTCAACATTCAGGATAAAGTAAAGCTAAAATCAGTCAAAGTAATAAACTGGCTAATTTTTACACCAGGAAGACAGGAATTGTATATAATAGTGTACCTCGAAGAATCCACCCTCGATTGATCTGTTCTATTTTCTTGTCCATCTCTGTGCCCTTTACCCAACATCGACCTTTCTCGAGGAGTTCCTTTCTTTAAGCCTGCTTGCATGGAAGCCCTTGCCTGATCAAGTAATGGATGCGTTAGTCTCGAAATATGTGATATGAGGGGATGTGCCAAGAAAAGATGCCTAAGATTTATAAGATACAGTAAAGCACAATCAAAATGGAACGGAACGTTACCATGTAAGTTGAATAGAAAACTCAGTGCTTACCCTATGAAAGGCTTGCTGGCAAGTTTCTATTTGCATAATGATCAAATGAGAATTTAATATCTAATGTCACAATTTACATTACAACAAACCGGGTAAAATCCCGGGAGGGTGTGTGTACCAACATTTCCGCTACTCCAGACTAGGGAGGTTTTTTCCAAGAGACCTCAGGTCAAGCACATAAACTACATCTAGCAACTAGACCCCAAGTACAGAAAACACAAGACGAGCAAAAGCTACCACCAAAGCGACGACTACCAACTACTCTAGTCTTAGATGTCCAAACACTCCTATTTAAGCTCATATCATTGGTAAGGACCAGAAGTCTTGGATTCTGTCTAATACTCTAATCATCTCTTTCCAATTCTTCCTAGGTCTACCCCTTCCCTCACCCACTATCGTCTGCACATGGCATGGGTACTGCATTAAGCCATTTCACATGTCCCCAAACCAACTCAACCTAGTTTCCCATAGTTTATCCTCCATAGGAACCACTCCTACCCATCCCCGAATAACCTTATTTAGAACCCTATTCAACCTCGTCCGCCCACATGTGCACAACAGCATCTGCAACTTTGTCACATGAAGTTGGACGAACATGGATTTTCTTAATCTCCAAACACTCTACTTCATATAGCATACCAAATCTAAGTACTGGCCGATAGAACTCTTTCATGGTAGCTGAAATCTTCTTGTCGCATAGGACCCCTAAAACTAGCTTCCACTATGCCCAAGCAACTCCGACACATGAATAACATCCCCACCTATCTCCCTTCTA